CTCCCCCATCCACAACCCACTGGCCAGACTGGACAGCAGCCCCGTCCCAGCAGACACGGGACTCAGATCTGACTGGCCGAGACCTCAGAGCCCCTGACCCTGGGAGGGAGGCTGGGGGGCTTAGAGCAGGGCCAGGGCCCCATAGGGTCAGTCAGCAGGAAGGAGGTGAAACGTTCAACGCCAAGAGGTGCTGTCCTGGCCGCAGGCCCAGCCCCTGCCTGACACTGCAGGAGCCCAGATGTGCCAAGGAGGCCGGGCACAGGGCGAGGGGTGTGGCCGTTGGAGCCCCCACGCTGGGCCCCCAGCATCAAGGCTGCATTGCCTGCGCAGCCAGAGCATCATCCTCAGCACGACCCCACCGGAGGCATGTGCCAGTGACGCCAGACACCCAGCCCCGCCCAAAACCACTTGGCCTGTTGCTTCTCACTGTGAAGGTCTCCACATAAACCCAAGTGACCTTCCCTGGGGGTGGGTGTGACCCGCCCTCCCCACCAAGCTCAGTGCAGTTTTCTCCCCACCTGTAGCTGCCTGGGCTTCCCAGGGTGGCTGGTCCTTCTCCTTTGCGTTTCCTACTTTCTCCTAAAACTCAACTTTCACACGGAGCACTTGAGCACACGCAGCCCAGAACCTGCCCTGCTCTCACACAGAGCACGTGAGCACACGCAGCCCAGAACATACCCTGCTCTCACACGGAACACGCGAGCACACGTAGCCCTGAACACGCCCTGATCTCACACAGAACATGCGAGCACATATAGCCTGGAACATGCCCTGATCTCACATGGAACACGCGAGTACACACAACCCAGAACACACCCTGCTCTCACACAGAACACGTGAGCACACACAGCCCGGAACCCACCCTGCTCTCTCACGGAACACGCGAGCACACACAACCCAGAACACACCCTGTCCTCACAGGGAACACGGGAGCACACACAGCCCGGAACACACCCTCCTCTCACATGGAACACACGAGCACATGCAACCAAGAACACACCCTGTTCTCACACGAAACAGGTGAGCACATACAGCCTGGAACACGCCCTGCTCTCACACGGAACATGTGAGCACAGGCAGCCTGGAAGACGCCCTGTTCTCACACAGAACACACAGCTGGGGACAAGCCCTGCTCTCACTCGGAACACCTTGCACGCACACATGGCAATGCTCTGCTCTTCCTGGGGACTCATAAGGATGAGGTGTTGATGTTGGGGAGATGCAGCCGGGGTGTTGATGTCGGAGGTTGTGGGGATGTTGATGTGGGGGAGCTGTGAGGGGTGTTGATGTGGGGGAGCTATGAGGGGTGTTAATGTGGGGGAGCTGTGAGGGGTGTTGATGTGGGGGGGTTGTGGGGGTGTTGATGTGGGGGAGCTGTGAGGGGTGTTGATGTGCGGGGGCTGTGGGTGGTGTTGATGGGGGGGCTGTGGGGGGTGTTGATGTGTCCCTGGGCTCCTTGTCATATCCGCTGGCCCTGTGTGGATTCCCTGCAAGCATCTGCTGGCCCAGGTGGCTGTGAGCCTCCCAGGACAAAGTGCTTCCTCCAGACACAAGTTCAGGGGCACAGGCTCCCTGACATCGACCCCTCATAGCTTCTTGACATCAACACCTCCCACAGCCCCCCACATCAACACCCCCCAAAGCTCCCCCATACCGACTCCCCCACAGCTCCCACACATCGACTTCCCCCGGCAGCTCCCCCACATCCACCCTCCCTGGAGCTCCCCCACATCGACCCCTGGCAGCTCCCCAACATCCACCCTCCCTGGAGCTCCCCCACATTGACCTCCAGCAGCCGCTCTGGTCTTTCATTTGCCAGTGGACACATCCTAGGTGACACCTCACTTGGATGAGGCCCTCCCAGCAGGTGCCCGGCCCCAGTGCCCAGGGCTCAGGGCAGCAATGGTGGCGGGTCTCAGGCAGGGGTGGCATCTCTCTACTGCCCAGCCCTGCACCTTGCCCAGGAGAGGCCCGCACCCCATGCCCTGAACCATCTGCTTGGGGACCCCGTCTCAGGCTCTGCCTCCCAGGCTCCGCGCAGTCTGCGTGCCTGTGACTCCACCTCCCTGGTGGTGACGGGTCTGGCCTTCTGTCCGATGACGCGGGGATTCCTCCTTCTCTGTGGCTGCCCCCCACCTTTCCACGGAGTTTCTCCTGACAGTTTCCGAGGGCTCAGCCATTTGTCTCTCTCATTCCCCCGACTTTGCTTGTGGAATACTTTGCTCTTTTCCCGTTTTAACTTTAATGTGGTCCGTGTGATGGAAGGAAACGCGGGTTTCTCTCCAGACAGTCTGTGCACGAGCTGCAGGAACATTCTCGAAGAGATGAGAGAAAATGCGTGGCCACAGGAAAGAATGAGAATGTTACGGAGAGAATCATTCCAAGGACAGAAATGCCTCTTGGAAACTAACGGCAGCAATGGAAAGGGCTGGGGAGATGGAGTTGGGACGATCCCCGAAAGTGAAGCGGATGGACGAAGAGACCGGAATAGAAACGGAAATTCGAGGAGCTGCTCCAAATCCTGATGAATTCACCAGAGAGAGAGCAACAAAAATAAATAAGAACAAAATAACTTAAAAATTGAATTCGAGAAAACTGCCTGCGGCCGAAGGATAGGCATTTCCAGACAGAAACAGCCCGTGAAAGGGGTGAAACGGACCCACGCAAAGGTCCAGATTCTCGGGATGCCGGAGAATGGAGGCAAAAGGAAGGCCAAAAAACCTTCAGCAAAAACCCTGCAGACGCAGGTTCCATGCCAGGGATCGGGGTTGAGACGTCATCACGGATCCACAGCAGCCTCGGGAGCTGGGGACCGTCGGGGGACGAGCTTTTCGAAGAGCCTGCAGGATTCCGGGCCAGCTGCAAGTGCGGCGGGGGCCTGCCCTGTGCCCCTCATTCCCTCACCTGAGTAGACCAGAAAGGGGAGGTCTGGGACCCGGGAAACCCACCCTGGGAAGAAGCCACGGGATCTTCAGGACGGGACCACGACACTCGCAAGATGCCAGTCCTGCCCCAGCCCGAGGACCTGACCACACCAGGCAGGGCAGGAGGCTCCAGGAGGTCTCTCGAAATACCCAGTGTGCTGGAATGTAAGTCACTGAGGAGGGTCTGAGACTGAATTAGTGAGAAGTTCAGAGAAAACCAGGCAGGAAGAAAAGCGAGGGCGCTTATTAACTCCAGGGAAAACAGCACAGCTTTAGCTGAAAATGGGCAGCCCATCCCCGCCCAGTGGAAGTGACACCTTGGACCTGTGGCAGAGACAGACCGGGGTGGGATGGTGGAACCAGAGGAGGGAGGGCGGCAAACAGCCCCTTCTGTGCGGCGGGTTCAGAGCTAACCTGAAACTGGAGTGCTGAGAAGCTGCTGTTTGATGGCGCCATTAGAAGTAAACACAGGGGCCTCCAGGAGTACGGAGCTCGTGGCCTCGGCGAGGCCAGAAGGCCACGTGGATACAAGCCTGAAGCAGTGTTTGACTCTCAAGCAACCTATAAGCATAACTTTTAAAAATTTCTTTTTTTTACAAACAGTCTTGCTCTGTCGTGTGGGCTGGAGTACAGCGGTGCGATCTCAGCCCATGCAACCACCGCCTCCCAGGTGCAAGTGATTCTCCTGCCTCAGCCTCCTGAATAGCTGGGATTACAGGTGCCTGCCACCATGCCCAGCTATTTTTTAAATTTTTTGTATTTTTGGTAGAGACAGGGTTTCACCATGTTGACCAGGCTGGTCTCGCGCTCCTGACCTCAGGTGATCCACCTGCCTCGGCAGGGATCCCAAAGTGCTGGGATTACAGGCGTGAGCCGCCACTCCCGGCCACAAGCATAAATTTGATAGAAAAGGTAAAAATTAAGTTGGTGCGCACTCTATCCTCAGAAGCCTGGGAATCGTTTTAAAGTATTGGAATGATCAGTCATTAAAGGTTTCCAAAATGCAGAGCTGTGAACTTATCTGTTCTCAAGGGGGTATTGTTGATAGATTTTGCTAATTCTTCTATGATAATCAACCTGTTCCTGTCTTCCACTTCTGCTGGTTCTGATGCCGGTGCTCAGCCAGAAAAGTGTCTGCTTCCCCGGATTCCCCCTTCCCAGGGCCACGTGGAGGGCAGCTCCCCCACCATGTCCACAGTGTTCGTCCCTTTGTTGCGTGACCATGTGTGGCCCAGTGCCATGGGGGATGCTCCCCGTCTGAGGCCAAGGGCAGACAGTGTCTCATTCCCTCTGCGCCTAGCAGGCCGCCCTGACGCTCTGAGCTGCAAATCTCTGCTAGACTGGATTTCAGCCGGGACAGAGCAGGCTGTGCTGGTGGCATCTGCTCCGCCCACCCAGGCCCCCTCCCACATTGTTCACATGCCCACGCGCCCTGTCAGATGGAATAAATTTGGTTCCCTGCAAGAGCTCTCTGCCAGGAAATGAAAATCATGGCTTCTTAGTCTCTCTCCCCATCCCAGGCTCCCCTAGCTGGTCATTCACAGGCCCCAGGGGACTCTGGGGCCTTCACAGCCGTATGTTCCCACAGGAACCCCAAAACACCCATAATCATCACAGGTACCCCAGACCCCAGCTTCTCCCAGGGGCTCGTGGCCACCCCATGGCCCCTCCGTGTAGCCACAGTCAGGCTGTGGGACCCCAGGCCCGGCCCACCTGACCAGCACAGCCCCGCAGGCCCCAGCAGACCCTCACCACCCCCCAGCCAATAGCAGAAGCTGCCCGCCCTGGGGAAGGGCCTCTGGCTGAAACCCTCCTCTTCAGAGGCTGCGCTCTCCCTGTGGCTCTGCCTGCGGAGACTGTGCCCTGGGCTCCCCAGCGGGTCCCCAGGTCCCCCCCAGCACAGCAAGGAGGCCTGAGGGCTGGGCCCCAGCCAGGCAACTGGAGAGGGGCTGGTCCCGGAAGAAAAGTTTTGTTGGGTCACGGGCTTTCGGCTCATCAGAAGCCCCTGGAAGCCACCAGCCCTCCAGACAAAACCTCTCAGATGCTGCGGGTCAGACCCACAGACCTCAGCCCTACCTGGTCCCGGGACACGGAGGGCGGTGTGTGGCAGGAGCAGACTCCCTCAGGCGCCCTTGTGGTCTTATCTTGGCCTGGCTGGTGGAATGTGGTGGAAACCTTTGCCTGGTACAACCACGGCCGCTCCACAGCCCAGGAATTTTGCATTGAATAATTTTTAACTTCTGCTCTGAGAGAGGACCTGGCCTTGTGTTCAGTGTCTGCACACACAGGAGTGGCAGGGAGGCATTTTCAAGTCAGTGATTCACGGAAAGCCGCCTTGGAAAAGCAGAGAGAAAAGAGCAGGAACAGTCAGAGGGCCTGGCAGACCTCCCTGGTGCTCAGAGTGGCCAAGCCCACAGGCCAGGCCTGACCTCGCAGGTGGACACCTCCCCACAGGGGAAGACACAGGCATCTGGGGACACCAGCTCCCTGGAGGCCAAAGTGGGGTTTGCGTTTCATGGCTGGCGGGCGGAAAACACTGCACCCAACACCTCTCTGGGTGTCGAGTAGCTCCGAAACCGCCCTCTCTCCTGAGCGCCCACCCCTCCTGTAACCCCAGGCCTGCTCCTGCACAGCCTCTTTGAATGCCAGAAACTGCTGGAGCCCGTGCCACCCCCAAAGCCTGCACCCAGCCTCGCACAGTCGCTGCCCTGGGCAGCTGGCATGCGTGCCAGACCTGGGGGTTCGTTCTGCGCTTGTCCAAGGCTCAGGCCTGTGACCCTGGCTGCAGGCTGCCCCCCACACACACAGCAGTGACCACAAAGCCCCCTTCCTGGGCCCATGGGGGCCTTGGCGATGACACCTGGGCCCTGAAGCTGCACAAAGATCTGGGGCCACCTCACCTCCAACCATGGTCCGGGGGGCGGTGGCCCTGCATCTTTGCCCATGGAGTTGGAAATGCAAGGCCTGAAAGTCGACTTGACCTTTAACCGAGTCTCCCCTGGCTCAGAGCCAGCTTGGGGACCCACCTCTCACGAGGCTTTGGCACCTGCTGGGTGCCAGAGCCCCAGATACCACACAGGAGCCAGCGCGGCTGGGCGTTGCCGTGACGTCAGCCACACACACCCGGCCACTTTGGCCCAGGGCAGCACCTGGGGAAGACGGGGGTTACGGTGGCCGGTGGCTTCCCGTGGCCGCTGGTCAGCCCCGTTCTGTCCGGCTTCCTGGGAGTGGCTGCGGAGGGCACCCTGCGTGCTGGAGGACCTGGGATGGGGAGGGCTGTTGCCCAGAGACCCAGGGGTGACATTTCAGAAAACCGGGCATCACGTGCAGGGCTGGACACAGCTCGCCTTTTCCAAGGGATGGTGGACGTAGGAAGATGAGGAGGACATGCCGAATTCTGCAGAGACTCACACGCCGGCTCCTCACAAGGGAAGTGCCTCCAGGGAGCTGCACTTGGGAAAACATCCACCACGCACCAAAGAAGCACAACCGTGAAGCTTCCACGAGGAAGAACGTATTCCGTTCAATGAAACAGCAGTGGGCCGGGTGCAGTGGCCCACCCCTGTAATCCCAGCACTTTACAGGCGGGCAGACCACTAGGTCAGGAGATCGAGACCATCCTCACTCACATGGTGAAACCCCATCTCTAATAAAAATACAAAAAATTAGCTGGGCGTGGTGGTGCTCGCCTGTAGTCCCAGCTACTCAGGAAGCTGAGGCAGGAGAATCGCTTGAACCCAGGAGGCAGGGGTTGTTGTGAGCCAGGATGGTGCCACTGTACTCCAGCCTGGGCAACAGAGCAAGACTCCATCTCAAAAATAAAGGAATAAAATAAATAAAACTGCAGTGAGGGCCCAGTGCACGCACCACTGAGCAACGAGGCAAAGTGCAAACGCCGTGGGTGCAGCGGCCAGACCTCAGGCGCGCTCACTGTCCGACACAAGCAGCAGACTTCACACCCCCTTCTGGGGGAAGGCTGCTAAAGCCACAGCGAGGTGAGCGAGACGCGGCAGAGGGGCAGAGAAAGAGCCACATCCGACGGCACCTTTGAGAGGGAAGGCCCTGCCTCCCTCGACAGCACCGATGAGCCCCCACCAGGAGCAGGTTGGTGCCAGGCTCCGATGCTCAATGGCAAAGAACGAAGCCCAGTGTGGGGACAGTGGCTGGGAGGGAGGAGGACAGAGTGGGCAGAGCGAGGGAGCATCCGGGATGGGTGCCATGGGGAGTGGCCCTGCCAGGCCAAGGACATGTGTGGGGAGGATGAGATGCCCCAGCCCTGGGAGAAGCCGGCAGTGGGGGCAGCACCGCAGCCTGCAGGGGTCCTGCTGGATGATGGAGGCCATGAGGTGAAATCACAACCACTGTCTCAGACAGGGCTGCCCCACCATGCTGGCCAGAGGGGTGGCTGTGCCTGGACAAGTGGGAGGTGACGACCAGGACAGGGGCTGGGACAGGGGCAGGGGCAGGGGTGGGGACCCCCTGAGGGCCAGGTGTCCATGCCTGGTGACCCACCAGCGTCATGGAGCTCTGCAAGCCACAGGGCTGGGGCCGTTCTTCTCCCACAGCCGTGTCTCCAGTTGTCCAGGCAGGTGGAAAGGCCAGCATCCCCTGGTAGCCTCTTTTAGCTCCTGGAGCCGTTCAGGCCATCTGGGGATGGACATGCCAATGTCCACCAGCATGCATGGCAGCAGGGACACAGGTGAGCAGCCAGGGACGGGCCCGGAGCAGGTCTGCCCTGGCAGGTGCTGCATGCACACATGTGTGTGTTAATGCATGCAGGAATGTGTGTAGGTATGTGTGTGCAGGGTATGTGTGTGCAGGTGTGTGTGTCTGTGTAGGTGTATGCAGGTATGTGTGTGCAGGTGTGTGTGTGATGTATCTGTGTAGGGTGTGTGCAGGTATGCATGTGCAGGTGTGTGTAGGGGTGTGTGTGCACAGGTGTGTGAGTGTGCAGATGTGTGTGTGCAGGGTAAGTGCAGGTATGTGTGTGCAGGTGTGTGTAGGGGTGGGTGCAGATGTGTCTTTGTGTGTAAGGGCAGGTGCAGGTGTGTGTGCAGGGTGTGTGCGTACAGGTGTGTGTGCAGACGTGTCTGTGTGTAGGAGCATGTGCAGGTGTGTGTGCAGGTGTGTCTGTTAGTGTGTGCAGGTGTGTGTGTGCAGATATGCCTCTGTGTAGGGGCATGTGCACGGTGTGTGTGTGCAGGTGTGTATGTGGATGTGAGTGTTCCTGGCTGTGCCTCTCTCACACATGCCACATCCTGCCCCTGAGAGGTGGCTGCCGGAGACAGGTGACGGAGGACCTGGTCCAGTCGCCGTCCTTTGGCTGCAGAGGAGAGTCTGGCCCTGGGAGGGTGGCTGGGGAAGCCTGCCCAGGACCCAGGTTAAGTTCAGGGAGGTTGGGCTTGGCCAACGTGTCACCAGCCGCACGGTCCCCAGACTCCAAGCAGTGGGCCTTCCCAGGCACCAGCCCTGAAGGCTCAGGACCCTCCCCAGAGTACCGCCAGGGGTATCCCAGGTTCTGTGACTTCCAGAGACTTTGGGGCCCAGGGCCCTCCCTGGAGGACCACCAGGGGTGTCCCAGGTTCTGTGACTTCCAGAGGCCTCAAGGCTCCCAGCCAAGCCACTGTCTTCTCTTTGGGATAGGAGGGTCACACTTTGGTGAGACTCCTTACAAATTTTTGCTATGCATTGATCGAAATAAATACAGGGTTAGAAGATGAATGATTCTCTTTCATTCCAGACAGTATAGTGTTTTGCCAGCTATTGTCATTACCGATGGACCAGATGTGGTTTAGCAGCCGAATGTGTGGTTGGTGCCCTGTCATTTGCCATAACAGTGTTGGCTTCGGAGGGAGAAGGAAGCGCAGTGTCCCATTGCTCATTCAGAATTCAGGGAGGAGGCCGGCGCGGTGGCTCCCGCCTGTCATCCCGGCACTTTGGGAGGCTGAGGTGGGTGGATCACGAGGTCAAGAGTTTGAGACTATCCTGGCCAACATGGTGGAACCCCATCTCTACTAAAAATACAGAAGTCAGCTGGACATGGTGATGCACGCCTGTAATCCCAGCTACTCGGGAGGCTGAGGCAGGAGAATCGCTTGAATCCAGGAGGTGGAGGCTGCAGTGAGTCAAGATCACGCCCCTGCACTCCAGCCTTGACAGAGCGAGACTGCGGCTCAAAAAAGAAGAAAAAAACAAGAATTCTAGGGCCGAGGCCACCACACCTGTGCTGCCCTGAGAGTAGCGGACCTAACAGGGAGGCTGTGGCGTGGGGAGAGCCAGACTGGCTGGCAGGCCAGCACTCTAGGGCTGCTGGGGGGGCCGCTGCTGCACCCTGCGGCCTCTGCCCTCCCCCGTCTTCCATCCTCCCAGAGGGTCCCTGACTGTGGCAGATAGCATGGCATGTGTTTGCTGTGGCCTGTGCCAGGGGGCAGTGCTGGGGTCTGGCCGTGGCTTCTGCTTATTTGAAGGCTACTGTGACTTTTTTTGGTTTTTGTTTTTTGAGATTGAGTCTCACTCTTGTCACCCAGGCTGGAGTGCAATGGCGTGGTCTTGGCTCCCTGCCACCTCCACCTCCTGGGTTCCAACGATTCCCCTGCCTCAGCCTCCCAAGTAGCATGAGCCACCATGCCCAGCTAATTTTTGTATTTTTAGTAGAGACAGGGTTTCACCATGTTGGTCAGGCTGGTCTCAATCTCCAGACCTCGGATCCACCCGCCTGAGCCTCCCAGAGTGCTGGGATCACAGGCATGAGCCACTGCGCCCGGCCTCTGCTGTAACTTTCTTACTTTGATCAGCAAACTCTCAGGGTCTCTTTCCTGGGAGCGAGCGAAGGGGCCAGGCTGGGAGCAGGCTCTGTGGCCTCCTGGAGGGCTTGGGTCTCTGGAAGGAGATGGATTGGGAACAGGTCCCCTCCAAGTGCTCTCCACGCCAGGGCGCAGAGGGCAAAGGTGTGGATGGGGTGCCTGGCCTGGGAAATGTGCTCGCCTGGACTCCAGGGGGTTGGAGGAGGACAGAGGACCCAGGACTCTCCCTGCACAGGGCCTGGGCCTCCCGCTCCTGCCCTGGGGCAACTAGAGGACCTGAAGAGGAAACATCTTTGCTGGAATCCTGGTCTGAGCCAGGGCTGAGGATTCACCCTGAGGCTGACCCCAAGAGTGTCCGGCCCTGTGGTCAGGGAAGGAGTGGAGCTCAGCTGAGGTGTGGTGCGGGCCCCTGCTGGCCTCAGAGGCCACCCTGCACGACATGCCTTGGCCGCTGCAGTCCCCTCTGGAGGAGGAGATGCCTCAGGGCAGACATGGCCCCTCCCTGTCCTCCCCACGGTCCTCTGAGCTCCTCGGGCCCACTCCTGTGGCGGGGGCGGGCGGCTGTGCTGGGTCTTGAGACCAAGTTCTTCCCTGAGGGGTCAAAATGCCGCCTGGCTGTCTGAGCGCTGCCCTGGGGCGTCTTTCCAGGCCACAGCCCCGGGAGCCAGAGCTCCTTCGTCACCGCTGCCTTCACTATCGTCCCATCAGAACAGGGAGAGCAGGTGCGGGGGCCGGGGACACCAGAGGCCATCCTGTGCCTCACAGGCTGGGCGCCAGCAGCCGGGGCTCCCACAGGCCCTGAACTGAGCTGGGGACTCACGGCCAGAGCCCCGCTCCCGACATCCCTCCTGCCTCCCCCAGGCTGACAGAGCCCTTGGCCGCCACAACCACTCAAGGCCTGGCCTAGGGAAAGCCATCCGTGGCCTTCGTCCTGGTGAGCCCTTATTTGTCAAATCAATATTTGTCCAGGGGTGGCATTAAATGTGCCTAAAGTCCGCAGAGCCTGTGGCCCAGGCTGATGGGGAAGCTGGACCCGGGGTCTCTGCCTGCCCCAGGGGTCTCTGCCTGTCCCGGATGCCTTTCCGCACCAAGCTCCTGACTCTGAGACACTGCGAGGCGGACAGGTTCTCGGACTCTGGAGAGCGTGGAGACCCCAGAGCTGATGTGCTCTGGGTGGGGCAGGAAGGGCCCCCCCCCCGCCCCGCCCAAAGCCTGTGAGGCCAACTCCTTCCAAAGAGAACCTGCAGCGCCTGCCCTGCCTGCACGGGCTCTGAGGACAGCGTGGTCCCACAGGGCTGCAGTTCCCAACAGGAGAACAGAGGCCAGGGGACCCCCGGGAAAGCGAGGCCTCAGAGGCAGCAACCCCACGCATGTGGCAGCCCCAAGCAGCATGGACTGGGTGTGGGAAGAGCCCTGACAACGCCCAGAATTCATGTGGCTTCCTGCAGGAGTTCGCTGCTACCATGTAACAAATGACCCCCCACACAGTGGCTGAAACATGGACGTTTATCACATCTGCTTCCGGGGCTCAGGAAGCCAGAGCTGTGCACACAGCTGGAGGTGCAACTGTGCTGTGGACGGGGGGTGGTTGTCAGAGTTCAACCGCAGGGCGTGTGTGTGTGAGTGTGCACAGGCGTGTGGGTGTATGTGCACAGGCATGTGGGTGTGTGAATGTGCACAGGTGTGTGGGTGAGTGTGCACAGGCATGCGTGCAGGAGTGTGCACAGGTGTGTGGATGTGTGCACAGGCATGTGGGTGTGTGAGTGTGCACAGGTGCGTGGGTGTGTGTGCACAGGTGTGGGTGTGGGAGTGTGCACAGGTGTGTGGGTGCATAGGCATGTGCATAGATGTGTGTGCAGGAGTGTGCACAGGTATATATGCAGGTGTGTACAGGGCTGTGCAGGTGTCTGCAGGAGTGTGCAGGTGTCTGTAGGTGTGTATAGGATTGTGTAGTGTGTACAAGTGTGCATAGGTGTGTGTGAAGGCATGTGCAGGAGTGTGCAGGAATGCAGGGTTGTTCACAGGTGTGTGTAGATGTGTGCATGTGGACACAGGTGTGTGTAGGTGTGCACAGGTGTGTATACAGGTGTGTACAGGGCTGTGCAGGTGTGTGTGGTGTGTGCAGTAGTGCAGAAGTGTGCACAGGTGTGTAGATGTGTGTGCAGGAGTGTGCACAGGTGGGTAAGCAGGTGTGTAAGCAGGTGTGTACAGGGCTGTGCAGGTGTGTGCAGGATTGTGCACAGGTGTGTAGATGTGTGCATGAGTGTGCAGGTACACACAGGTGTGTGCAGGCATATGCATGTGTATGTGCAGGAGTGTGCACAGGTGTGTGCAGCAGGAGAGCATGACCTTCCGTACTTGCTCCTGGACTTCTCCCTGACTGGGGCTGGCATCCCAGGGCAAGCCATCCCAGGCACAGCATACAGGACAAAGCCATTATGGCCCCATATGGAGAGCAGCACCCTCACTTCCACCTTTGTCCACAGGGGAGGGGCTTGCAGAGGTCTGTCCTGGATGGAGATGGCCGTGGGTTTGCTGTTGCTGTTTTCCTGGAAGCTGCTCCGCCCCACCTGCGGGTTTGCTGGACCTGCGGCTGGCTGGTTAATAGTATGAAGTGGAGCCATTTTGAGAAGATCTACATTTTGCTTTAGCTTCATGCGGGCACACACTGGCACACGCGGGCCCAGGAGCTCAATCTCGGAGAAGGCTGTGTGCTCTGACGCCACAGAGCCAAGGCCAACAGCAGCCACGGAAGTGCAGGAGGCGTCCTCACACCCTCTCCTCAAAGCGTTCCTAGTTGTTTTCACAGACACAGCTCCGTGTTTCACCCTTATTTCACTGTCTGTGTCATATTTACACGACATCCTTGCATGACGAGGTCTGAGTGATGGACGTCTCTACAGCACAGCAGTTTCCTGAGTGGATGTGGGACTTTGGTGCATAGAGACCCCCGTGGGGCGGAGGGGCTGGTGGACGGGCCCCCAAGTGGGCCTCTGGGGTTCAAAGCTGGAATGTCTGCCCCACGCAGGTGCCACCTCCCCGAGGGGCGACGGGCACCCCTTGAATCAGGAGGTAGAATTTGGCACCAGAGAGAGGCGGCGTGGGCACAGGAAGATGCGTGAGGTGTGGGGTGCAATCTGGGTGTGAGGAGCGTGGAGGGGTCTGAGGTTCCGCAGCTTTGCTTCCCTGGGCACTGGACTCATAGGCCGAGGGCAGGGCTCTCTGCCACCCACCCAGCCCAGCGGGTGAGGGGGTGCTGCCTCGCATCAGCTCTGGGGACTCCCCCAGGCCCTGAGAACCCCCACTCAGGGATCCCCCGAGGAAGGTCCCGGCCACCCACCTGCCATCCCAGGCAGGAGGTGAACGACTGGACGGTGTGCAGTGCCCTGGTTCAGGCCCGCGGGGGAGGGGCGCCACCTGCAGGCAGGCTGGGGACCTGGCGCTGGGAGACGAGTCTGCCGACGACCCACCCTGTGCTCCCAGAGCCCCATGACCGGAGAGTCTCCGTCCCCCGGTGCCAGCCTCACTGAGGGTCGGCGGAGAGCCGGGTCCTGTGGGGGCCATGGTGGGACAGCTGTGACTGTGGTCATCTCAGCCCCGGTGAGAGCAAGCCTGTCCCACAGCCATGGGAGGCTCGTTAGTGAGCGCAGGGCAGTTTCTGGGGAAGAGTCGCCACCCAACAGGACCGGCCATCAGCTGAGAGCCCGGCAGGCATCGGGGCTGGTGGCTCAGCCTGGGAGGCACCGGTACCTCTGCCCAGAGCGAGGAAGGCCCCACCCCACCCACAGAGTGGGTGCCACCATGGGCTGGTCTCACCCCCTGGCTGCTGTGGCTGTTGCAGGGGCAGGTGAACCAGAGGGGGGAATCCCAGGGGGCAACGGGATGGGTGCAGCATGGGCACCTGGAGGGGCTGGGGGTCGCCACAGCCCTGTCCTGCGCAGAGAACACAGGGCCCACAGCTGCACAGACCAGGAGACTTGGCCTCAGCACACGGCAGCCTGGCTGGGGAAGAGGAGGGGCTGTGAACGCCACTTGCCTCCTTTAATTAGAGGATTAACTGTGTGCTGATAATTGAGCCTCCCCCAGCACCTGCCTGTTTTGGGAAGTGCTAACAGCTGCACCTGCTCCTCCCTTGGGGCCAGGAGGCCTCTGAGCCCTGTAGGTTGGGGGTGGATACAGCACTGCCAGGGGTACGGGGCACCAGCTGTGGTTCTGAGCCCGCCTCACAAAACGCACGTCCCGGTGCAGCCGTGTGGGGGCTGAGCCCCTTCTCCGTGAGCTGAAGGGCACCCCTCATTGGGGAGGTGAGGCTGGGCCTGCTGGGAAGAGCAGCCCTTCTGGGAGCGGCCTGTGGATAATTGGGTTCAGTGCAGCGGGAAGCCAGCGAGCCTTGGCACGCCGGCTCCAGGGATGCAACAGAAACTAAGCCCGCTGAGGTCCCCCAAACCACGGCCCGCTGAGGTCCCCAAAACCGAGCCTGCTAAGGTCCCCGGAAGCCCTCAGAAGAGGCTGCTGTTTGGCATAGCTGGGAGCTCCACCTCAGTTTTCCTTCTTTCAAAAGTCATCTTCTAGGGGTTGTTTTTTTTTTAAGACAGAATCTCGCTGTGTCGCCCAGGCTGGAGTACAATGGTGCGATCTCGGCTCACTGCAACCTCCTCGTGCCTCAGCCTCCTGAGTAGCTGGGATGACAGGCACCCAGCACCATGCCTGGCTGATTTTTGTATTTGTAGTAGAGACAGGTTTCACCATGTTGCCCAGGCTGGTATCGAACTCCTGATCTCAAGTGATCCGCTGGCCTTGGCCTCCCAAAGCGCTGGGATTACAGGTGCGAGCCGTGCCCAGCATCTTCTAGGGGTTTTGAACTCTTTGTCTAAAGAGCCATGTTCTAGAAAAAAAGGACAAAGTCAAAGGCCCAGAGACTAAGCCCAGTCAGGGCAGAGGAGCTCAGGGACCCCAGCCCCCCGACCCCGCATGGCTGGAACAGGAAGGCCATGACCAGGAGGCATCCAGGCGCATGTGTGTGGCTCCCCCAGCCCCGCAGCCCCAGCACCCGCCCTGCCCCACTGACCACTGTGGTCTGTGATCCACAGCCACTGTTTTGCCCAAGAGCTGTAGAACCCGGTGCGTCAGGAGGCAGGAGGGCAGCGTGAGCCCAGGAGTTCCAGACCAGCCTGGGCCACACAGCAACACCGTCCCTGCTTAAAACATTTTTTTGAAGAGGGAATAGTAGAATCAGAGCAGGTACCCTTTTGAGGGTGGGATTTTCTCATCAGCCAAGGCCCTTTGAGTTGTCCCAGTTCTCCCACCCACAGATGGACATGGTCTCCTTTTGGTTATTTGCTTTTGGAGATGGAGTCTTGCTCTGAGACCCAGGCTGGAGAGCGGTGGCATTATCTTAGTTCACCCCAACCTCCGCCTCCCGGGTTCCAGTGATTCTCCTGCCCCAGCCTCCCTCATAGCCATGATTACAGATGTGTGTCACTGTGCCGGGCTAATTTTTGTATTTTTAGTGGAGACACGGTTTTACCATGTTGGCCAGGCTAGTCTCAAACTCCTGACTTCAAGTCATCCGCCCGCCTCGGCCTCTCAAAGTGCTGGGATTCCAGGCGTGAGCCACCATGCCCAACAGGATGCTGGCTTCTTCAGGGTGCCGGTTCCTCAGGGTGTCTGCACGGGGTGGGCTCCCACCCACCTGTGGGGGCAGTGTCCTTTGGAGTTTGGACCTATTGCAAGGGAAGCTGCTGGCGAGTGTGTGAAGGTTTTATTTCTGAGGTGAATGGCCCAGAACACCACTGCTGCCCTACACAGCGTGCGTGAGGGCCCAGTTGCCGCTGTTTAAATTCCAGACAGGCGTGTGGCATCTCCTCATGCTCTTAATTCGCAGCCGACCAGCAAACATTTGGCGCTGTTTTTACAAACCATCTGTTCTGACTCATTTGCAGACACTTTCAACCAACAAAATCTTCCCCACTAAGTTACTGACACCCAAACTGGTTAAACCTACAGTTTATCCCTAATACTCTCTGAAGTTTTCCGACTCTACATAAGGGTAACCACCAAGCATAAATACTTTCCTCATTTGAACGGTGATGATTCCGTGGCAAAGCCAGCCCTCTCGTGGGACAAGTTCTCCCATTACAAACGCTGAGCTGGGCATGGCAGCTCAACCTGTGGTCCTGGTGATGTGGGAGGGGAGGCGGGAACATCCTTGAGGCTGGGAGCTAAGACAGCACCGCTGCATTCCTGCCTGGGCAACAGAGTCCCCATCTCAAAAAAATGCCCCCACAAAATCCCCACACATTGCAAACACAAAACAATACAAAAAATAAGAGTGTGAAACTTTTGAGTTCCCCAACTCTTCCCACGCTGGATTTGAAATCCAGGGAGGAACGGGCTCCCTTTCAGAAACTCAAATGCCCCGGTCGGCAGAGGTGGGGTCCATGGTGCCATCTGTGGGCGCTTGCCTCCCCTGTGGCCTTCAGGCCTAGCCTCCCTCATATACCCGGAGTGTGGGACCCAGCCTGTTGGCCCGTAGGGGAGTAAATGTAGTTTCGTTAGTCTACAAATAACAGGTGTCCTTTTTTCCCCACGTGGCCTAGTGGAATCTCCCACCTTTTCATGTTCTCAGCAAATGCACAGCCTGTGGGGTGACTCAGGATACTCCGGGGATGTCTCCAGTGGCCACCTCCCCCTCCCCCAGAGAGAGGACCAGCTATCCCACTGCCCACCTTACAGAAGAGGGAATGTCCAGTGCTCAGGCAGCTGGTGCCAGGTTGGCACAGGCCGGCAGGGGCTGTGCTTCCAGAGAGCAGGTGGGTGCTGGTCTCAGAGCATAGTTCAGCAGGTGCTGGCTGGGCCCTGCAACCCCAGCCCAAGACACACGCCCACGCTCGGATCGGCTTCCTGCAGCCCCAGGGCTCCGCCCTCTCACCCCGACAGGGGCCCACATGTAGAGAGATGCAGACCCCTGTGACTGGGCAAGGGCGGGGACGCTCACCAACCAAGCTCCAGCATGAGGACAGGTCTCCTAGGAACACAGCCTCAAGCCAAGTTGAGGGGCAGGGACTTGACGCTTGGAACAGGCAGCTCCCGCACCTAATGCCCCTGGAAACGCCGGGGAATGCTGGCCTTCAGGAAAGTCATGGTGGCTCACGCCTGTAATCCCAGCACCTTGGGAGGGCCAGGCAGGAGGACTGCTTGAGCCCAGGAGTCTGAGACTAGCCTGGACAAAATAGTGAGGATTCCCCCACCCCAACCGTCTCCACACACACACAAAATGTGGCAGGCGTGGTGGCACACACCCGGGGTCCCAGCTACTCTGGAGGCTGACAGAGGATCCTTTCGCCCAGGAGGTCCAGGCTGCAGTGGGCCAGGATCACACCACTGCACTGCAGGCTGGGTGACAGCATGAGATCCCGCCTCAAACACAAAAAACAAACAAAAAGTAAGTGGAAACTCAGGCTCAGCTCCATGATGAGCTGCCGCAGACAGCAGCAGCCGGTGGCACAGACTGCACTCCGAGGGGGACGGTGACCGTGTCCTCCCAGTGGTCCTCAAAATCGCCCAGGCCGGTGCCTCTTGACGGGGACGACACACATAAAGCTGCACACCCGCGGGCGCATGGCGGAAGCCCTGCAGCTGCCAGAGAACCCTTAGTGCTGGGCGCGCACAGCCGGGCGTCCACTGCCCCGGGCTCTGGTGGCATCAACTCCAGCCCAGAGGCCCCGAGGGCACCCGGGATGGACCCTCAGGCAAAGATTGTCCTCTAAAGAGAAGACACAAACGTGGCTTCCCCACCTGTCTCCGACCTCTTGTTTAGAAAACATCCTCATGCTGTTTAGACGGGAGCTTTATTTCCATTGAACTCTCTGGCATTTAAACTTGGGATGGAAGCACCAAACGGGGACAACCCCAGGGCGCACGCAGGACGGGCGTGGGGGCCCTGGGAGCTACCAGGAGTCGAGGAGGCTGGAGGGGAGTCTGGGACGTTGGGGGAGCTTCGGGGGTCTGGGGGAGGACCGCGCCATCTGCAGCCACAGACCCCCCCCCACCCTAGGCGCTGGCCGGGCCGGGGGACACAGACAGGCCACAAGCCTTTGATTAGCGGGCGGACGCCCCGAGTTCCCTCAGGGGCGTGTTTACCGAAAGCTGCGGGCGCCGCGGGACGCACACAGTGCTCCGTTTTCTCCGAGGCGGCTCAGAGGCAGAGCTCTGGAGAAGCCCATGCGCCCGGCCTGCGGGGCGGCGACGCCACCGGACCCTAGGGTCGCCGAGACTCACACGGGAACCTGGGACCCCGTCGTGCGTCCGGAGGCCGCATGGCCCTGATCCGTCCGGGAGGCGGTGCCGACGCGGGTCCCCGGGCGCCCCCAGCGTCCGAGTGGAGTCCGCGCACCTGGGCCGGGGTATGTCCCGCCGAGGACTCAGCACAGGCGCCGGCTGCGGACTTCGGGCGCGTTTGGCCGAGCACTCTGTGAGTCTGGGGGCGCTGGCTCCGCGCACCCGCGGTCAAACGTGGTGCAGCCGCGCCGCCGCCTCGGATGAAGCCGGAGCCGCCCCGGTCGCCCCCAACCGCTCCGCCTCCGCCTAAACCGGCGGAACGCGACGGACACCAGCGCCGATGCAGCCCCAGGTCCAGCTCGAGGGGCCCAATCCGGGAGACTCGGACTACGCCCCGCCCCGTCTCTCGCCGGAGCGCGAGGAATCCTGGGGAATGCAGTCTGTCCCTGTCGGGCGCAGAGGCATGAGCCGGATCTCCCAGGACTACATTTCCCAGAATACTCCGCGACCACCCCCTCCTAACGGCCATGCTCGACGGAACTACCGGGCGATGACGGCTCTCGCGCAGCCCTCCGGGAGTTGTAGTCTTCTTTGGGAGCCGCGGAGCCTGGCCCTGCGGCGGGGGAGGAGGAAAAACTACAAGTCCCAGGGGGTGCGGCACCACCGCCTGAGGGCGGGGTGTACGAAAGAGAAGCTCGGAGGGCGCCCGGGTGAGTGAGGGGCTGGGGGCTGGCGTGAGGGCGGTGGGTGGGGGCGCCAGGATCCATCTTGGCGGCCCGGGCGGCGCGGGGCGCGCGAGAGGCGGACAAAGGTCTGCGCCCCCGGCCCAGTCCGAGAGACGCCCCCTGCGCGTCCGCCTTCGTACGGCGCGCGGAGGAGCCGCCCGCGCTTGGGCCCGCGTCCTCGTCGCCGCCTCCCAGCGCGCTGGGGCGACAAGGGAGGGGGTTCCCGGGGAAAGGAGGGAAGGAGAGGGGAGGGGAACCCCGGGGAGGGGAGGGTGTTCCCGGGTCAGGGAGGAGGCACCTGGGGCGGGGAGGGGGTGCCCTGGGGAGGGGATGGGAGGGGTGCCAGGAGGAGGAAAGGGGGCGGTCTCCTTGCCCTCCCCGCAGCCGGCAGTGGGGGTCCCGGCATGGCCTCCGGTGTCCTAGAAGTGGGCCATGTTTCGGGTCTTTTTCCCGCGCGGCTTTGGGATTTGTTTTGGTCCGCTTGTCGCCTGGAGTAGCTGAGGTGTGGTTGGGGTGCGGTATTTCAGGGGCGCGTCGTTGCAGTGGCAGCGAGGCGACTTGTGACTGGGGTTCCTGGAAGCCCAGGTGTTCCGATGCTTTTCTTTCCCGGGAAACTACTCTGTGGCTGAATTCTTAACCCTTGTCCTGTTAAACTTCAAGATGTCAAACTTGGCCCCTTTTTTCGGTTTTCGTTTTTCTCAGTGTCACCACAGTGTGCAGAGACTGGACGGTGTTCTGCCAGGGTCCTTGGTGGCCACATCGGTTTTAATTCTTTTCCAGACACACACATGCCCCACCCCCAGCGCTCCTCCCAAAAGCCGACCAGGCGGGTGTCTCCGTGCGCAGTCACCTCAGCCCTGGGGCCCACAGGCAGCACCCAGGGCGGGAACCCCACAGATACACCCAGCCCCTCCCTGCCTTGCGGCTGCTCTCCACCTGTGCTTCAACGTACTGGGTAACTCATTTAAAGAATTGCTAGCACTGTGGATGCTGAGGTGGGAGATGGCTCAGGCCCGGGAGTCTGAGACCAGCCTGAGCAACACAAGAAGACCCGTCTGTAAAAAATAAAAAAATAGGCAAGCATGGTGGTGAGCACCTGTGGCCCTGTTACAGTCAGTAGCCAGTCGGACGTGAGCAGGGTGGGAGAGGGCCCCACCCAGGAATAGTGGCTGGTCAGAGAAGGCCTCAAGGGAGCGTGCGCACAACTGCAGTCAACGCTGCCCATCCTCCCTGCTGAGGGCTGGCAGCCACTGTGCCTGTGGACAGCCCACACCAAGGGAAGAGTTGGGGGAAGTAACACGAGACCCCAGAATTGTGCCAGCGTGTAAGACCCTAAGTCAAAGGTCAGTCCACACTCTTGACCTCTCAAGTCCCTGCCTGGCCCTCTTTCAAGGGGGCTTCACTTCCCTTCATTCCTGCTCTCAAGCTTCTTAACAAACTGTTGCACCTGCTCTAAAACTTAGCTTCATCTCTTCGGCCTCATGCCGTTCAGTCAGATTCTTTCTTCAGGGGGCAAGGATTGAGGCCGCTGCAGACCTGGATGGTTCACTGCTGCTAACATGCTTTGGTGTCGGACGTGGGGTATGTTCTGCCATCAACAGTTCCAGCTACTCGAGGGGCTGAGACAGGAGGAGCGCTGGAGCCCAGGAGGCATGCGGTGAGCCGAGACTGCGGTGAGCCGAGATCGCAGCCTGGCACTCCAGCCTGGGTGAAAGAGGGAGACTCTGTTTCAAAAAAAAAAGAGCAACTGTTGTCACCACAGTGCTGGGGGTTCCACAGGCCCAAGGTGGAGCGTGGAGCTCAGGTGGGCTCATAGGGCTGCTGTGGCAGAATGTACCTGAGTCGGGACACCACATTGTGTCCGTGGTGGCGAATCCAGGTGGGTCTGCAGCAGCCTCCGTTCTTGCCTCCTCAGAAGGAATAATTCAACTGAGGGGCATGAGGCAGGAGGGACAGAGGCAAGTTTTAGAGCAGGAGTGGAAGGAAGGGAAGCACCCTCGGAAGAGGGCCAGGTGGGCGACTTGAGACCAAGTGTGTGGTTTTATATGCTGGCATGCTTCCGGAGTCTTGCATCCCTTCTCCCTGATTCTTCCCTTGGGGTGGGCTGTCCATCCGCCCAGCGGCCTGCTGGCACGTGGGAGGGAGCGTGCAGCCCCAGCTGACTGGAACAGTGCATGTGCTCACTTGAGGCGTTCTTCCCTGACCTGTCAGATGTCCCAAGGAAGTCGCAGAACAGTTACACGCCGCCATTTTGCCTCTCAGTGCACATGCTTGAGCCTGCCTGCCCCACTCTTGAGATCTTATTGTGGAGCTGCCAATCACCAGTTTCAGGGGTTTTCTGTCTTCCCCTGAAAGGCAGGAGACTGCCTTTCCCTGGTGTCTCTTTTAGAGACAGTGAGCAGCCACCTGACCATCACCCGATGGTCACCTGACATTCCTGGTGGGGGCTGGGCCCTCTCCTGCCCTGCTCATGTCGGCTGAGTTACCTGCAGCAACAGCCCGACTCGAGTGTTCTGAGCCCGCAGGTAGATGGGCAGCATCTACCCTGCACATCAGCAAAGTTGGATGTCTCCTTTACATCCATCAAGGGGTTCGCGGTATTTGTTTCCTAAGGAAGCATGAGATGGGATCTTTGGATAGGCCTGTGTTTCAGGCTCCCAGAAGTTCTTACTGGGCTGTAAAGCTACATTTCATATTGGCTTCCTTTGCTTGCTATGAAGGTGACCAGCATTAGCTACATGGATGCAGTGGGGGCGCCAGCTGGCTCTCAGTGCTGTGTTTACCAAGGTTCTGCAGCGTGAGAAACCCACGGGTGTGTGTACCGAGGTTCCGCAGCATGAGAAACTCGCGGGTGTGTGTACCAAGGTTCCACAGCGTGAGAAACCCGCGGGTGTGTGTACTGAGCTTCCACAGCGTGAGAAACCCATGGGTGTGTGTACCGAGGTTCCGCAGCCTGAGAAACCCGCTCGTGTGTACCGAGCTTCTGCAGTGTGAGAAACCCACGAGTGTGTGTACCGAGCTTCCGAAGCGTGAGAAACCTGCGGGCGTGTGTACTGAGCTTCTGCAGCGTGAGAAACCAGCGGGCGTGTGTACCGAGGTTCCGCAGTGTAAGAAACCCGCGGGCGTGTGTACCGAGGTTCCTCAGCGTGAGAAACCCGCGGGCGTGTGTACCGAGGTTCCGCAGCGTGAGAAACCCGAGGGCGTGTGTACCGAGGTTCCTCAGCGTGAGAAACCCGCGGGCGTGTGTACCGAGGTTCCGCAGCGTGAGAAACCCGAGGGCGTGTGTACCGAGGTTCCGCAGCGTGAGAAACCCGCGGGCGTGTGTACCGAGGTTCCGCAGCGTGAGAAACCCGCGGGCGTGTGTACTGAGGTTCCGCAGCGTGAGAAACCTGCGGGCATGTGTACCGAGGTTCTGCAGCGTGAGAAACCCACGGGTGTGTACCGAGGTTCCTCAGGAGAACCCGCTCATCAGCTGCCCGCTGCCTCCCATTTTCAGTCCGGCTGCCTGGGAGGCTGGAGTTTCAGGGAGCCTTGGTGTCGTTGACCCATTGCCCCAGCCGGTGGTTTCTGCAGGGTTGTCTTCCAGGGTATTCTGTAAATTCATAGTGACCTGAGGCATCATTTCTTCATTGAAACCGATTCTTTGTTGTTGTTGAGGTGGGGTCTGGCTCTGTGGCCTGGGTAGAGTGAGGTGATGTAATCATGGTTCACTGTAGCCTCCACCCCCTGGGCTTAAAAGATCTTTCACCTCACCCTCCCAAATAGCTGGGGCCACTGGTGTGCACCACCAAGCCCAGGGACCCAAGGGCCAGCTAGTGCTGGCCTTGCCTGGGCTCAAGCGATCCTCCCAACATGCTGGGATTACAGGCCTGAGCCACCACACTTGCCATGAAACCAGTTCTAAGGGAAGACAAGCGTGGTGGAAGTGTCTAGCACGGTTTACCCTCTCGCTACATTTTTCATTGCCTTGTAGACATTTTCACCCCATTACTAAGCTTTTTGGCTCCAATCAGGTTTTCAAAATAGAAAATGCATTTATTTAGTTACCGAGGCATAATTTACATGCAGCGGAATGCACAGCGCTTGTGTGCAGTTCAGTTGTTTTGACAGAGGCATCCACACACCTGTCAGGATGTAGACTCTGCCTGTGATGCGTGGAGGTCGCCCTGCAGGCTTTTCCAGCCCCCGCCTGCTGTGCTGGACCGGAGCAGTGCTGCATTTTTCCACCACTCCCAAGGGTCGAGTCTCTCGAGTGAAGCTTTGTGTCTGCCCTGGCTCCAGAGGACTGTTTTTGAGCTCCTCTGAGGCGCCGTGTGAGCGTCTGGTGTGGGGTGTGGAGTGTCAGGAGTCATGTGTGTGAGTGGCCTTGTGTCTGCCACGGTTTGGGGGACTGTTTTTGAGCTTCTTGCACAAGGAGCTGGTGGGAGGCACTGCCGTGTGCTTCTCATCTGTGGAAGCACGGGTGGGTGTCCAGTGTCTGAGGACGTCACGCGTCTTCTGTGCTGGTGTTCGGTGGGCACGCGTGTTTGCTTCTCCTCAGAACGTGTGCAGCTGCGGGTGGCATCCGAGGTGTGAAGGTCCAGCTGTTTGGGCCCACACAGCCGAGGGTTGTGCTGTTTTCTCGTGGCTTTCGTTTGCATTTCCGCGGCAGTAACGCGTGCTGGGCACTTTCCACCCGCCTCGCCGTTCGTGCTTGTTTTCCAAGCTTCTGTCCACGTTTCTGATGACCGGATTGTGGAAGTCTTTTGTGTATTCCGTGTGCGGCATCTCTGTCAGGGTCACACCCTGTGGATGCCTCCCACCCTTTGCCTGTTCATTGTCTCAACGGCGTTGTAAACCAAGAACAAAGCCAAGTCCCTGGCTGACTGAACAAGCTGCCTCTTGGCCAAGGGGACCCCAGAGGAACCTTAGAACTCGAGTTTCTGGCCCTAAAACGGTGGGAGGTGGGACCCCTGGTTCTATGCCCTCCCTTTTTCGGTCTAGACACAGCTGAGCGCGTTAGTGCGATTCACAAGACGGACAGACTCTGTGGTAACAAGACTCCGAGACATAATCGGGACCCAAGGCCGTGCATTGAGGGTAAGTCACACCCACACCACGGGATGCACGGCCACTGGGCCTTCCTTTTCGCCAGCAGCTAAGCATGCCCTGGCCCGAGATAAGCCTGTGGAACCCTTGGCGGCTCGCTGTCTGCTAGGCACTGACCCCACCCCATGTCTCACTGCCATCAAACCACAGCCTGTTTCTGTAGCTTCTCCTGATAAGAGACCGCTGACTGGACTGGCGCTGCTGGTGTATAGAGGACGCTCATGGAGACAGTCCTCTGCTCACCTTTCTCCATGAGGGGCCTAATGGTCATGCATGTAAATGTGAAGTCTCACTTCAGTGGACGTGGGTCCTGTTTTACCTCATGTTTATTTAGTACACATTGCATTAAGACGCTCAGTAGGATCACTCGAGCCCAGGAGTTTGAGACCAACCTGGGAAATATAGCAAAACACCAATTTTACCAAAAAATAAAAATAAAATTAGCCAGATGTGGTGGCAGGAATGTAGTCCTAGCTACTCAGGAGGCTGAGGTGGGAGAATCGCTTGAGCCCAGGAGTTCAAGATGGCAGGGAGCTATGCTTGCACCAGTGCACTCCAGCCTGGGCAACAGCAAACCCCTGTCTCTAAAAGAAAGAAAAAAATTTTTTTTTTTTTTTTGAGCCGGAGTCTCACTCTTGTTACCCAGGCTGGAGTGCAATGGCACGATCTCCGCTCACCGTAACCTCCGCCTCCTGGGTTCAGGCAATTCTCCTGCCTCAGCCTCCTGAGTAGCTGGGATTACAGGCTTGTGCCACCATGCCCAGCTAATTTTTTTTTTTTTTGTATTTTCAGTAGAGACGGGGTTTCACCATGTTGACCAGGATGGTCTCGATCTCTTGACCTCGTGATCCACCCGCCTCGGCCTCCCAAAGTGCTGGGATTACAGGCTTGAGCCACTGCGCCTGGCAGGAAAAATTTTAAAAAGGAGGAAAGGAAACTGTTCCCTTAAATACGAACTCCCCATTTATTCCTCCCCACCCCAGCCCCTGGCAACCACCATTCTCTTTTCTGTCTCTGAATTTGCGGACCCCGGGAACCTCCTATGAATGGAATCACACGGTGTTTGTCTGGCGTGATTGGCCGCTTTCTCTTAGCATGGTGTTTTCAGGGTTCATCCCTATTGCAGCATGTGTGGAAGGTTTCTTGCGCTTCAGGGTTGTATAATATTCCACTGGGTGTTTAGACCATATTTTGTCTATGCATTCATCTGTGGGTGGTATGCTCTACCACCGTTTGGCGGTTGTGAACAGGGCTGCTACGGACATGGTTGCACAGATGTCTCTTGGAGTCCTGGTTTCCAGTTCTTTGGGGTAGAGACCCAGAAGTAAAGTTGCTGAGTCATAGAGTCATATTCTGTGTTTTTGTGTGTGTGTTAATTTTTTGAGAAACTGACATACTGTTCTTCACACCAGCTATACCATTTTCTGTTCTCAGCAGAGTACACAAGGGTTCTTGATCGACCTACCCTCTGCGGGAAGACTGGGCTCGTTGGGAAAGAAACTGGACCGCAGGCTAGAAGAAAATCCTTAAGTTCAGGCTTTATTGAGTGAAAAGAGCCTCCGGGCGGGACAGCTGGAACAAAAAGGAAAAATGGTCACGCCTCTCAGACGGGCAGGGTTGTTTTATAGGGGGTTGAAGGGCTGAGGGAGTGGGGAAGCTGAGAAAGCTGAGATGGTGGGCAACGTTTGGTCAGTTTGAACCGCTGGGCGGGAAGCCGGGCGGCGGGAAGCTGGGGAGAGCTGATGAGGCAGGAACCGGGCGGCGGGAAGCTGGGGAGAGCTGATGAGGCAGAAGTGGCGGGAGGTGGCTGCGGCCGGGCGGGAGGGCTAGGGCGGTATGTAGAGAGAGATAAGGGAGCCTCTTTGTGGGGGAGGGAAAGAGAGAGAGAGCTTTCACGGTAGGGGCAGAGTTTTCCAAACAGTTCTAATTTCTCCACATGCTTGCCAGCATTGGTGTCTGTTTCTGTGCTGCTAGCCGTTCTAATGGGTGTGGAGTAGTATTTCATTTTGGTTTTGATTTGCGTCTCCCTAATAATGAGTGACATTAATCGACACTTCTTAATTGAAGTTTCAGCCATTTGTATCAGTGCAGGTTTCAGATTGTTGGTTGACATCTGCCACCTTCAGGTTTGATTTCTGTTTTCCCACCCTTTTCCCTGCTCCTCCTCCCTTCCCTGCTTTGACGTGAATCAGGTTTTTTAAATTCAGTTTTATCTCCTCTGCTTTTTAGTTCTGCCTCTTTGTGTTTGTTTTTTGTTTTGTTTTGTTTTTTGAGGCAGAGTCTCGCTCTGTTGCCCAGGAGGCTCACTGCAGTCTCCCTCCCGGGTTCAAGTGGTTCTCCTGCCTCAGCCTCCCAAGTAGCTGGGACTACAAGCATGTGTCACCACACCCGGCTAATTTTTATTTTTAGTAGAGATGGGGTTTCACCATGTTGGTCAGGCTGGCCTTGAACTCCTGACCTCGTGATCTGCCCACCTTGGCCTCCCAAAGTGCTGGGATTACAGGTGTGAGCCACCATGTCTGGCCTTGTCTTTTTTTGAGTGGTCCCTCTGGAGATTAAATATGTCCGTTTAACTTCCTGTGGTCCTTGTTTAAAAATAATCCTGTACTTCCAGAACCTTAGAGGACTCCAGTTACACTGATTGCTCTTGTCATCATACATTTTGCTTCCAGGCATGCTAGAGAACTCTATAACACACTTACTGTTTTTACTTAATAATCTAATATCTAAAGGTATATTTATTTTTTAAATCCAATGTCTTTACTTTTTTTTTGAGATGGGGTCTCGCTCTGTCATCCAGACTGGGGTGTGGTGACACAATCACAGCTCACGGCCGCCTCAACCTCCTGGATCAATCGATCCTCCCAACTGCCTCCCAGGTAGCTGGGATCGGGCTTGTGCCACCATGCCTGACTGATTTCTCTAAGGGGTTTCACCGTGTTGCCCAGGCTGGTCTCAAACTCCTGCCCTCAAGTGATCCTCCGGCCTCAGCCTTCCAAAGTGCTGGGATTACAGGTGTGAGCCACTGCTCCTTGCCTTTGCTGCTTAAATTGAGAATTTCTGTAAGATTTTACATGAGTTGGCCAGACGTGCTGAATGTGTTTGTTGAATGTTGCAAAGCATGTAGTGTGGTCAGCTCCAGCTCCGCCAGACGCCAGTTCACCGGAGCCAGAGGGCCAGGCCCAGGCCTAACCCAGCCGATACTCACCGTGTGCTACTCACCGTGTGATCTTGCACAAGTCTTTTTCTCATCTTTAAAGTGGGTGATAAGAGGCATTGTTGAAGTTAGTGGAATCAGTTTGTGTGTAAAACCGCTTTACGTGGTGTCTGGCCTGAGGCAGTGCTGCCTCACGGCTGGTTTCTGCCATTGTTGGACAATGGAAGGTTTATCCCTCGGAGATCCAGGGTCTGTAGCAGGAAGAGACCTATCCCTTCAGCCATGCTCTCCAAGTTCTCTGCTGCTAAAGCTTTTTTTTTTTTTTTTTTGGACACAGGGTCTAGCTCTGGTGCCCAGTCTGGCTCTGGGACAGGATCCAGCTCTGTGGCCCAGGCAGGAGGGCAGTGGTGCGTTCATGGCTCCGACAGCTTGAATGCACCTGCACTTCAGCTTCAAACTCCTGGGCTCATGCAGCCTCCCAAGTAGTTGCTATTTTAGGTGTGAGCCACATACCCAGACTGCAGGCTTGTTATTTCCCAGAATTTGGCACCTGAGAAGCAACACCAGCGCCCACCATCTGGAAACTAGAATTTCCTTGGTTTCTGGATACAGAAAGCCATGTGTGGGATTCCACTTCCAGTGGGAAAGAATAAACTTCTTACAAAGTGACCGTGCCATGGGCATAGCCCTAACCCTGGACAGAGTGTGAAAAACGGCTCCCGGGGCCTGGACAGTGGCACACTTTGCAGGGAAGTCTAAACTTGGAGGAAGCAACCAGCACAGTTTCCTGTTTTTACATCTTCACCCTGAGGGCAGCCACAGTCCCCACATAATAATGTGGGGTAACTAAAGCGCTCATAGAAAGTTCACTATCTGGGCTGGGCACGGTGGCTCACACCTGTAACCCCAACTCTTTGGGAGGTCAAGGCAGGGGGATCACTTGAGGTCAGGAGTTGGAGACCAGCCTGGCCAACATGGTGAAACCCTGTCTCTACTAAAAATACAAAAATTATCCAGGCTTGGTGGCAGGTGCCTGTAATCCCAGCTACTTGGGAGGCAGGAGAATCACTTGAGCCCAGAAGGCAGAGGCTGCAGTGAGCCAAGATCGCGCCACTGCACTCCAGCCTGGGTGACAATGCAAGATTCAGTCTCAAACAAAGTCTACTGTCTGGCAGGGCGGCTCAGTCCTATAATCCCAGGATTTGGGGAGGCTGAGACAGGAGAATTGCTGGAGGCCAGGGGTTCAAGACCAGCCTGGGCAACATAGTCTCTACAAAAGAAAAGAGAATTATCTGGGTGTAATGGTGTGCACCTGTAGTCCCAGCTACTGAGGAGGCTGAGGCGAGAGGATCCCTGCCACTGCACTCCTGCCTGGGTGGCAGAGGGAGAATACCTCTCCAAAAAACAAAAAAGAAAGTACATTATCTTCCTTGTTCAGGGAGCAGCCAGGGGAAGGAGCTAGGCAACCACAGCTACTGGAAAGGGAGCAGAAGCCCCAGAAAGAGCCGGGGAGGACAAGTCTTGTGTGTGGACGCTGCTCGTTTCTGGCAAGCCCTGACCCATGCGTGTACCCTGGGGCAGGCAGCCCTGAGCCGCCGCTCACCCAGGTGTGCAGGTGTGACTGCCTTTGCAGTTTGAATCTAATGAAATTAACGGCCTGCTAAGTAGAAACATTGATGATTCTCTAAAGAAGATTATCACAGAATACAATGTAACATTTGCAGTGTACAGGATACAGTTCAAAATTACTCAATATATGAAGAGCCAGGAAAATGTGAGCCATTCTGGAAGGAAAAGACTATCAACATCAATTGTGTTTTGACGCAGCTGTTGG